ACAGTTCGGTGTCATCCGCAAAACTTGATGAAGACGGTTGCGAGCCTGATGATGGTGTGCAGTCGTGGTCAGCAGCAGCACACATCCTTGGGGAGCCCCTGTGTTGCAGTCGTGGGATGGCGTGCTGGAGGTTTTGCTGCCGACCCGAACCTTTACCGTGTGGTCTTCCCTGGGGTCAGGAAGTCCAGGCAGCACCCCCCGCCGGCTTGCCCACATGGAGGTGGGGTTGGCACCGTGTTGAGCCCCAGCTGGTCCAGTTTGTTTGATGAAATCATGCTAATAACTGTGGTAACTATACAATGTATTGCTCAAAGGAAGCAACCATTCATGCAGTATCAGTACATACGCCAGCTACACACGAGGGAAATATCTTAACATGCTGCTGGTGCGATCATTGTTATTTTAAGAGCAACAAAAGACAACACATTTTTATTAATCTTGTACTTTGTGTTAAGTCACACACATTTTAATCCGCCTTTCTGGTCGTACAGAGAGACTTTTATGCTCAATTGACCGGCCACACTGTGGATGATCACACTGAGCGTAAGCACAGAACTCCCTGTCGGTTTCGTTCTGTCACATTTCAAATAGGTTTAATCAAATAAGACGACTGTACAAACAGTCTTTTGAACAAAAAGTAAGAAGAAAAATGTGAAAAATACGGATCGCCAACATGGTCTGTCTGTTCTGCAGTTCTGTTTTATGTCACAACAGTCTCAGTGAAGACCACACTTTTAGCCACAACAGCAGCTGAATTGGGAAATCAGCCAACAGAACAGCTGAAATGGCAGACAGCCGGCCAAAGTTTCTGACATCCCAGTGTCAGATTGCCAATCGACCTCAAACTAGCACATGAAACGACAACCGATTCAAATATTACTTGAGATTGCATACAGAGTCTGTCTGGTTTAAGAGGCATACAATGTATTCTCACATCTTATTTGCTTCATCCACTAGCTGTTTCCTAAAGGCAGAAGTACGACCCTCCCCAACAAAAAACAAACAAAACAAAGGGCAACAAAGAGATGGAAAAAAAACTAAGCTTGTAAATTGTCTAAGTCTTAAAAATAATACTGATGTCGTGATCAATATCCCACAGTTCATTTTGTGCCAGTGTGATTTAGCTCCATGAATCAACCTGCTGTGGAACAAATGCAAGATATGCCCCCCCACCCGAGCACAAGGTATATTACACAGCAGGTAACCATAGCAACAGTGCTTGCTAACAGGTGCCTGCATTATCTGTTATTTTTATATACAAAGACATTTGTGCTGAAAAGATAAGTAGGTTAATCAGTTAGTTGGCAGCAAAGTCAAGAACTTTCTTTGGTTCGAGTTTCTCAAATGTGAGGATTTGCTACTTTCCTTTGTTTTAATGTAAATGGACTATTTGTGGATTTTAGACTTTGAGATAACTGGCGTCACCTTGGACCCTGACATTTTGTAGAGTCACTGTTTAATTGATCCTTAAACCAATATGTAACGAAATATGAAATATGGTATCTGGATAGTTTTGTTTTGTAATATTGTATTGATTCTTACGTTTAAACCCCCCCAACATAAACTGAGGGCTGTGATGTTGGATGTTTCAGGGAGTGTGATAAATAAAAAAAATACAGATCCATCTCAAAGTCCTCAAATCTTATGGCTTAGTTTACGTGACAAGCAACATTTCCAAATTAACAGAAGTGGAATGACTGCTAGTAAACCCTGGGTTTTATTACACGGGAACAACCTTAGTGAGTGTTGCTCTGAGAGTAATATACAATAGAGTTTTAGTCTGAAGTCGTTTTTGAACAGTCATACTTGCGATATGATGCGATACATAAACCATGTACTTCCTGATTTATACATTATTACTGTACAATAAATGAGTCACAGGGTTAATCAGATCAGTGAGCTACCTGACAGACGGCATCACTCACATGGCTACACCCACAACCTGCACTCACTTTACGTTCTACAGGTGTTTGTTACACACACACACACACA